TATTTAAATTTGGCTGTCCATCGAGGGACGTTAGAGACCGAATTATACTAAATAATTGCACCGGGCGAGAGCTAGCGGATGCAATGGAGGCCGAGAAGTAAGCCTTCTTAGCGGCCTTCACTGCCATCTCATAGGTTTTCATAAAAACCCTATAAGATGTTCTTGAGGCTCCGTCACGGGCACCCCGCCATACTCGCTCTAGCCGTCTGAGGTCCCGCTTCATTTTCCGAAGCTCCTCGGTAAACCAGGGAGCCCGGTTTCTGCGGGGTCGCAGAGGGCGCTTAGGTGCGATCTCATCGATGGCTGCCAGGAGCTGGGTATTCCAGCCCTCAACAAGCTCAATCAATGAGTCGCCAGGGGGAGCAAGGTCCCGCAAGGCTTGACGGAATCTATCAGGGTCCATCAGCCTCTGCGGGCGAACCCAAATCGGCTCGCCACCTAAGCAGGGTGGGGGTGGAAAGTCAATCCTGGCTTTCAGAGCGTAGTGATCAGACCATGGCACCTTCATCGAAGGAGACATGATCACATCTATACCGGCGCCAAAGATCAAATCCAGCGTGTGGCCTGCTTGATGTGTGGGGCCCGAAACAAACTGGGAGAGCCCTAGTGTCGCCATGGAAGACACCAGGTCCAGAGCCTGTGAGGAGGGAGTGGCATCAGCATGGAAGTTGAAGTCTCCCAATACCAATAGGTTAGGGAACTCCAAGGCCCAGCCGGCCACCGCCTCCAATAGGCCTGACAGGGTGGCTGCTGGTGCGCTAGGTGGCCGGTACACCAGCCAGACAGCCAAGCTCTCCTCGGAGCCCCACACTAGGCCAACACATTCAATGCCGGGGATCGATGGCAATGGTAGAGCCCTGAAAGGACAATCTTCCCGGATTAATACTGCCACCCCTCCCCCCCGGCCCACAGTCCGTGACTGGTGGAGGATGGAGAAACCCGGGGGTGCCATCTCTCGTAAGGTAACAGTTACCCCTTCGCGCACCCAGGTCTCCGTCACACAAGCCAGGTCGACCCCCAGCGAGATAAAGAAATCTCGCAGGGTGGCGGTTTTGTTGCCTATAGACCTGGCATTGCACAACACCAGTGAAGGAGGTGAGTAATCCTTGCTCACCCTACCCTCGTCTCTCGGGATGGGGCGCAGATTGGAAGGGGTACGAGCATATCCGTATCTCGATCCCCTTCGCCTATAACATCTGCCCCCACCGCCATACCTCCCTCGCCCCACTACGGTCGCAATCCCAAGCCTCATACTAACCTCCATCTACAAGGTAGAAACAAAACAAAACAAAACAACCAAAAACAACTACGCCCAAACATAACCAATCCCTACCCCACTCAGTGTCCGACCCCAAAACAAAACAAAACGGAACAAAACAAAAATACATAGATAAAAACCACCATTCACGGTGGCACAACAAAGCAAACAATAAAAGCACCTCTAAAACACCCCAAAATACATCTAAGCATCTTTAACATTTGCTGCTGCCGCACCAGTGTCCCTAAAGCAATCATAGAGGTGGGCCTGGGCCCCGCCCCCTAGGCCAGATGGGATTAGCCTGAGGAGGGAGAGGCCTTCTCCAACACTCACAGTGCGGCAGCAGTGATGTCCCATCCTCAATGAGGCCTTTTAAAGCTGTGGCGAAGGTGAGCCTGGGCCCCGCCCCCTAGGCCAGATGGAATTAGCCTGAGGAGGGAGAGGCCTTCTCCAACACTCACAGTGCGGCAGCAGTGATGTCCCAATCCTCAATGAGGCCTTTTAAAGCTGTGGCGAAGGTGAGCCTGGGCCCCGCCCCCTAGGCCAGATGGAATTAGCCTGAGGAGGGAGAGGCCTTCTCCAACACTCACAATGCGGCAGCAGTGATGTCCCAGTCCTCAATGAGGCCTTTTAAAGCTGTGGCGAAGGTGAGCCTGGGCCCCGCCCCCTAGGCCAGATGGAATTAGCCTGAGGAGGGAGAGGCCTTCTCCAACACTCACAATGCGGCATCTAGGAATTTGGCTCACGTCGAAAAATATAAATCTAATTGAAGATAATTATTCGGCAACATGGAATAAAGTCAAAAAAGACCTGGACGTCTGGAACAGAGTTAAACTCTCATGGCTGGGCAGGATGGAAGCTATAAAAATGAACATACTACCCAAAATGCTGTTCTTATTTCAAAACATTCCAGTTATTAGAGGACCCAAAATATTTAAAGATTGGCAAAAAACTCTCTCGAGATTCATATGGCAGGGCAGAAGGCCTAGGATTAGATTTAAATTGCTTACAGATAGAAAAGAGAGAGGTGGACTCGCAGTTCCCAACCTAAAACTCTATTATGAAGCAGCTTGTTTGTGTTGGGTCAAAGATTGGATAACCCTGGAGAATACTGATCTATTGGACCTTGAAGGAGTAGATAATAGGTACGGCTGGCATGCCTACCTCTGGTCAAACAAAGGGAAGGTACACAAAGGATTCGCGAATCACATCGTCAGAGGCCCTCTATATGAAGTTTGGGGAAAAAACAAAAAACTGCTAGAGTGGAAAACACCTTGGTGGCTGTCCCCAACAGATATCTTACTAATTAAGAAGACAAATCTGGAAGAACAAAAACTGACATATGAAGATTTATTGATAAGATCTCACGACAGCTGGAAATTAAGACCATATGAGGAGTTGAAAGAGAAGTTGAAGGGCTGGCTACAATATCATCAGATTAATGCATTATGGACGGAAGATAAAAAATTAGGAATGAATGAAAAAAAATCCAAATTTCAAATCGAAATAATTGAAAGTAAATCCAAGTTATTATCTAAAATGTATAACATATTATTAGAATGGGATACAAAGGATGAAGAAATTAAAGAAGTCATGGTTAAATGGGCGATAGACCTGGGGCATAACATTGAATACGAAAAATGGTCAAAACTTTGGAATGAGGGAATAAAATTCACGGCAAGCGCTGCAATTAGAGAGAATCTAGAGAAAATGGTATACAGATGGTACTTAACACCGGAAAAACTAAGCAGGATGTACAAGACCGGTAATAAGGAATGCTGGAGATGCAAAATAAAAGAAGGCAACTTTATACACATGTGGTGGACATGTGAGGAAACGAAAAAATTCTGGAACCAGATATATGATGAACTAAAAAAAATACTCAGATACACATTCCCTAAAAAAACCTGAGGCCTTCCTGTTGGGGATGGTGGGAAAAGAAATACGGGATAAAGATAAAACCTTATTTCAATATTCAACAGCAGCGGCCAGAATGTTAATCGCCCAAAATTGGAAAAATACAAACTTACCAACAGTAAAGGATTGGCAATCAAAATTATATGGCTTCATTGAATTGGCAAAGATGACACAAAGGATTAGAAATCAAAAAAATGCAAAGTTAAATGAGGAATGGATTAAATTTTCAGTTTATTTGGAAGGCAATTTTAGAAACTTACCAACTATAGCAGGTTTGCTATAAAACTTTCGATGCGTAACTAAAAACTAACACCAGCTGCAAAATAAAATGTTTAAAAATGAAAACCCGAAACCAGTAGGGAAGGAAGTAGATGTTGAATGTTAAGTGTTGTATGTAAATTTTCTTGTGCTTTTTTGTTCCTTTTTGAACACTTCGTCTTCGTTATCCTTTTATGTTCTTTTTTTCTGTATTTTTTGTATCTTCTTTTTTTTTCTTGTTTTTGTAAATCTTTTCTTTCTACCTATTTTTGTTGGTGTAATGACAAAGGAAACTTAATAAAAAGAATAAAAAAAATTAAAAAAAAAAGAACGGTGAGAAAGAGGAAAATTTTCATGACGCAGTTAAAAAATGGCGTCTCGCCAAGACAGGCTTGCCAGAGAAAGAAAGACAGGGGGAGGAGAATCAGGATTATTCGAAAGAGAAGGAATGTTGGAACGCAAACTTGACCTGACAGAGCCTCCTGACTCATTTGATTTATTTGGCAAGCCTGAGAAAAGTAAGGACAGACCGAAGATTTTTTTTTTTTATGGAAGCACTGAACAGAGGCTGTCCCTGAGTGATATGATCTTTGGACAGTACAAAACCCACACAATGGATGCCTGTTTTCAATCTGCTTGTGAAAATTATCAGAGATCGCAAAGAAAGGAATATACGATAACAACAAGAAGAGAAAGAAAGTAATAAAGGACTATCTGGATTGAACTGGATAGAACTGTCTAATTAAAGCAGTAATATAAGTGATGTTTGAACTCGTTCGGAGTTTTGGACTCGTGTGGAGCTTGATGTATGGGTACCCCCAACAAAATTTACAATTTGGCTGTATAATTTGAAACTCATGTGATTTGGATAATGTGATGTGATTGGCCTGTTAATAAAAATTATTTTTTTTAAAAAAACAAATGTCACTCATTGACAGCCACTCCCTCCACAAAGTTGAATGCATCTACAGCAGCCATGATTCCATGCAACCCGTTTGCAACTGCTGTCTTGGTTATAGTTCTGAAAGTATGTTTAAGGCTGATTAACATCTACATACCACCTTGTCAACAACAAAAAAACTATAAATACTATCTGGACAGAACTAGAAAATTATATAGAATCCATCAAATCCCTATATCCTACTGCAGTGTTTATCATTGCAGGGTATTTTAATGCACACATGGGAGTCAACAATGTAAATTTGTACACCCATTACAATCAGATTCTGGAACCAGATATTTACTTTGCCAGAGGTACCTCCCTTCTGTCTAAAGATCATGGGCTTTGTTTAGCCCAAGTTGTAAGGCAGAGGGGCTTGCTAATATTAAATGGTATGATAGAGGGAGATTGGCCCGGGGAATATACCGACTTTACAAAGCATGGAAGCAGTGTGATAGATTATATTGCGACCTCACAATTTGCATATTAGTTTGTCATGGAGTTGGAGGTGGGCCATAATATTGAAAGCGATCATTTACCTCTAACAATGGTACTAGTTGGCCCAGTATTTAATCATTCTTCACCCCAAACTCAATCTGTAATGCACACTTAGGTGTGACTGTAGGCAATAGTATTAAGTGGACCCCAGTACTCAATCTAGCACTGACCCACCTTCTTCATACAGATGACTTAAAGGCTATTCATACTGCTATTATCTCAGCTACCTCTGCTGCTGAGGCTATGGATTTATTTAAGATCTTGAATGACAGGTTTTAAGACCTCTTGAGAACTGAGATCAAGAACAGTGGCTCAAGAAGACCAGTGGGATCTTCCAGGTGGTTCGACAAAGAGTGCAAGCAAGCTAAAAGCCAGCTGAAGAGAGTTTACAGTAAACATAGGAACTCTAATTTACCCCTCTTAATTAATGAATATGTTTCCCTCAGGCAGAAGCATAAACTTCTGCTAAGATGGAAAAAACAGAAAGCCTCTCACGATAAGGCCATCTCCCTCTTCTGGTGTACAACTGATTGGTGGAAGGTTCCATTTGTATTCCACTTCTGACAGCAAAATATCTCAGGCCAGCCCAGAGAGCTTACCAGGATACCCGACTACGGCTCTGTGTCAAAACTGAATGGGATGCAGAACAACATACAGTATGAAACGGCAAGCAACGTACCTTTTGGCTCCAATCTTCCTTTGTCATTGTTGAGTTGTTTTCTTACAGGTGTCTGCTGTACCGCTGATCTGGCCATCTTTGTTTTAGGAATAAAAGCATAAAGGGATGAACCAAGAGATTATCTGGTTGCCTATGAAAACAGGATGCTGGACTGGATAGGATTTTGACTTGATCCAGCAGGGCTCTTCTTAGACACCTTCCCCAGGGGCAATTGAATCTTACTTAAGCACTAATTACAGGATAGTATAATCCACTGCACTTGAGGCAACTGGATGGTTTGGGTGTGGCTAGGCAGGCTGTGTAGCATACAGACAGCTCTGTTCTCCAGACAGGAATACCCAGGGGGCTTCCTCTGCCTGCTCCCAGCATTTGCCACTGGGGGGGGGGGCACTGTCTCAGTTTGCCAAACGGTAGGGATGCCCCTGCACCAACTTGTCTGGAATTTGGGTTGCTATATGTTGGAAGTTTGGTACTTGGGCAAGGCCCGATACACCCCAGAACCTGAGACACAAAGAGCAAAAACTTACGATTTCTTCCTGAGCTGAGCTTTGACTGTCACAACAGGCTATGCTGGGCTTCCAATGCAGGAAGAAGGAGCTACACAAGGAAAAAGTAAACAAGTCTTGTGGCATCTTACAATAAAGCCTTGCTAATTTATTGTCACACACGTTTTTGAGGACAGTTTTCGAATCTCCTGATGTCATGTCACTTGACATTAGGTGATTCAGCTTCAAAGGAAAAACTGGGAGCAGCCTCTAAATGCATTCCAAAATCTTCCTTTGTAGCCCTGGCTTTGATTTATGCCCCGCTACCACGATTCCTACTAAATGGAAGCTCCACTTTGGGCAGGGATTAGTTCTGCTCAGTGCAAATGCTGCCAATTCCAGTTTCTATTCCTGCTTGCAGAGACACAATCAGAAGTTCACTCTAAGGCTGCCACTTGTTCATTTCAGCCACACCTTTACCTGCCCTACACTTGAGATCAGAGATATGCGTCAGATGGGGGGGGGGGAGAAGATGGCCATACATACAAATACCTGAGATTGCCCAGACCCAGTCTACATTGACCAGCAGTGTCTCTGCATGGTTTCAGGTGGAAGTCTTTCCCAGTACTATCTTGGAGATGCCTGGGAGAAAAGCTGATGACTCCTAGGGACTGAAGCAGTTTTGCCCCCCCCCCCCAAGTATTTTTTGAGGGGGCCAGCCCCTCTCAGTTTTCATAGGATGTTCAGCTCTGCCCCTACCTCTATACAATATCTCACTGGGCCCTCTCAATCCTCTGGAGAAGCTGGTACCTCTGCCTAGGAGAGACTCTCAGACCTCTTACATTCAAAGCAGTTATTCTAACACTGAGCTACAGCCAATCTCCATAACACTTTTATTTTTTTGCTGCATTACATCAACACTGCTATCACTCTGGGAATTGCAACAAAGGAAAGCACCAGGAGTACCTGTATGGAGTTGAAATGCATTGTTGTATGGAACAGGAATCCATTGATTTACCTTCTCATTTAAATTGGCTGAGGCAGGATGGGGAGTGAGAATCTGGTTAATACCCCCAGCAGCTTATATACCCTCTTTGTTGAACGGGAATTGGTTCAACTAGAGCAGGAGTCAGCAAATTTTTCAGCGGGGGGGGGGGGCAGTCCACTGTCCCTTAGACCTTGTGGGGGACCAGACTATATTTTGAAAAAATAAATGAACGAATTCCTATGCCCCACAAATAACCCAGAGATGCATTTTAAATAAAAGCCCATATTCTACTCATGTAAAAACACCATGCAGGCCCCACAAAGAACCTAGAGATGCATTTTAAATAAAAAGACACATTCTACTTATGTAAAAACACGCTGATTCCTGGACTGTCTGTGGGCCAGATTTTGTAGGCGATTGGGCCACATCTGACCCCCGGGCCTTAGTTTACCTACCCATGAACTAGAGCAATGATGTCTAATCCCAGGTAATTGAAAGCCCATCACATAAAACAAGCAATTATGCCAAAATATCAGCCCCAAAAACTTTTCAAAATGCATCATTTAGAAAGCATTCAATTATCTTTAAATTAATGTCCTTCAGAAAGTACTTGTTCTCTTAAAATCTACAGAGCTAGGTTACTTGGCATAGCATCCCCACCCACCCTGCAACTCATAGTTCATTACCTAACAGACCAAACCAATTTGCAGAGTTCTTTGGAACTCCAGAAAAAAGCAGGATTTCAGTAGCAGCCTTAGTACAGGCTTTTTCTACAGTCACTGTCCTATCAGCTCAGGCCTTTCTCCTCCTCTGCATTGCAAATGGATTCAGGTGCAAAGACTGGAGCCAAGATCAATTCTTAAAGTCACACAGTTTCTGGGAGTTGAACAACTAGGTGCAAAGGGTTTCAAGGCTCCAACACCTTTAATACAGTGGTACCTTGGGTTACATCTGCTTCAGGTTACAGACTCCAATAACCCAGAAATAGTACCTTGGGTTAAGAACTTTGCTTCAGGATGAGAACAGAAATCATGCTCCGGCGGCGTGGCATCAGCAGGAGGCCCCATTAGCTAAAGTGGTCTTCAGGTTCAGAACAGTTTCAGGTTAAGAACGGGCCTCCAGAACGAATTAAGTACTTAACTCGAGGTACCACTGTACAGGGATGGGGAAGCTACAGCTCCCATTGTGCCTGACTGTTGGACATACCTGGCCGGAGCAGAGGGAAGTTGGGAGTCCAACAACATCTGGAGGGGCTGCCCAGCCCTGCCTTAAATAAAACTCATAATACAGCTACCAGTGGCAATTGTACATGAAGCAATTGTGAACAAGCTTAATAGAGAGTAAGTCACGTTGAACTCTATGGGACTCACTTGTAAGAGTAATCAATTGCAGGGCCATGGCAGCACATGTGGTCTAGAGCGGCATTCCAGTATGTAATTTCTCAGGTTTGCAGTTAGAAATTCGTTTTGGTTTGAGACAGCTCAAATTCTTTATGCCCTCTGTTGGTTCTGGTCAAACAGCTTTTGCAGGTTTTTGAAACGCTACAAGAAAAAGGTGCAACTCCTGTTTTTTAAGGGCAAAAGTGGAACTGGTATGCATTGTATATGCAACCACCTTTTAAAAGGGCTTCAGCTAAAAGTGTATCCATCCTGTGTTAATTTATGGCTTAATTTGAATGCGGCCTCATGGAGTGTTCTCCACTAGGGGGCAGAACAGTGCTGTGAATGGCGCAGGACGGACATAATTAATTGTGGAAAGCCACTGTTGGACTGATAACTAATGGCTTGCCATTATTTATAGCTGTTCATCAACTATCATACCACATTCTGCCCAGAATGACTCTTCAGTCTTGGCCAACTCGTTTTGTAACGTTGTTGGCTGGGAACGGTTTTATAACAGTTATAAAACAGATATTGGCTAATGCCAGTATCTTCTGGTGTTCTAGATCGAAACAGGCTTTGGCGTCCCAATAAATCCTACATACCCTTAAAAGTAAAACTACACAAAAACATTGTCGAATGCGACGGGGGAGCGGAGATTTGGATTTTTCTTTCATGGGAAATCCTTTTGGGAACCACCTAATTTCCACCTCTGCTATTTCATTTGCTTTTTTTATTTTTGTTTTTAAATAAAGAGCTTTCCTTTTTAGGGCTAATTCAGAGTGCTTGCATGCTTTGGTCCTGTAGGACAAATAGCAAGCTTTTAGGGTGTGTGTGTGAAGGTTAGATTTGGGGGAACTGCACAAGGAAAGCTGCCTCCCCATTTAGTGTCATGGCCCGGATCTAATCTCAGGCCACACTCCTAGAATGGCTGCTTTTAAATTTAAACAAACCAAGAGATCCTATCTTGACTCTCCCACTGTTTCATTTAATATAAGCCCTGAATTATTCAGATATTTACAATGCAATCCTAGGCATATCTGCTCAGAAGCAAATCCTACTGAGTTGAATGGAACTTACTAAGTGTGTAGGGATAGGAATAAACCCTAAAATGGAATCTGGGTAAGGAAGGGATCGTGGCGTTTTAAAACTATTTCTCTTTTCCCCTTATCCCTTGCCTTCTTAATTAATATCTGTGGCATTTCTCATTTGCAGTGCCATTTCCTCATAAAAATAGCTGGAAAACAGCATTGGGGGGGGGCAATACTAAAAAAAAGTATTTGGCCCCCAAAAATCAAAAGGCCCCAAAAGAAAAGCTCAACAGCTTTTCTGTCTGGATTTTCACTGTTTGAAATATGGCAAATATAATAATAATAATAATAATAATAATAATAATAATAATAATAATATGGTTGTGGGCAAGATTCCTGCATTGCAGTGGGTTGGACGAGATGACCAACGTGGTCCTCTTCAACTCTGTAATTCTATGTTTCTATAAGCAACAAAAGCGGTTTAAAAAAAAGGTAGAACTTTTGCGGCATGAAAAATAGCAAGATTTCAACAGGAAGTAACTGGTGGACACTGATTATAAACAAAATAGTATGTCTGCCCCGAAACTTCTGTAGCTGCCAGCTATATTGAAAACAGGACTGTGTATAACTGCCTTGATACCATCATGAGCACAGATCACAATGAATGCACAATAAAAAGGATATCTGGAGGGGCCCTTGGGTGGCTGTATGTCACTGGTCTTCATCTGGTGGGTTGTATCAGGCCTGCAGCCTGATACAAGCTGGGTTGCAACAGGAGCATGACCACCATGCAAAAATGTGGCAAAATATTAAGAAATGGGTCCCCCAAAATGCAGGTTTGGGTTAAAAGTAGGTCCTGGTTCTTGAAGAGGTTCAAGATAACCTGCTCTATGCGACCTCATGCCGGACAAGTACAGCGGTTTGAAAAGTGAGATGTTCTTGCAGCGGAAGGAATGTGAAGGAAGATGTGAGAAAACTAACAAGCGTTTTTGGGTGCAGTTTTTTGGATCATACTTGAGTGGCATATGGAGGTCATTGGGTTCAGTTAGGTCTGCATCCTCATAGACAGGCAGAGTTTTCCATTTAGTCTTTTCTTTGCTCCAGTAAAGTTCCTGTGCTGCTGTTATGAGCTGAATGCACATTCCACGCTGCCAACGATCCTGTACAGAAGTTGCTCTTTTATTTGAGTGGAACCTAACAGAAACAGCTGGCTCTGGCTTGGGCTGGGGAATAAGAGCCACTCACGGACAGAGGTGCCAGCCTGCTGCTCGAAGTGGCTGTCAGAACGTGTTCGCTACGCCAAGGGCAGCGTCTGGCAACTGCTGAGTTCGCACTGTCACAGCCAATGTTAGAAAAAGGAAGACGAGAGGTAGATCAAGAGGTGCCATGTCTTCTCCCATCCTGTTCCTGCAAGCGGAGATGATCTTTATCCTGGTGCACAAGAAAATAATAGCGAGGACTAGGGAAGCAGCTAGACCCCCACTAGAGCAGCAGCCAAGGAGAACGTGAATTATGTTGTTGTGAGATAAGGGCAGGAGAAGGGTAATGGGCTTGAAATGGACAGGCCTGGTCCAGCACATCTTTCGTTAGGCAAAGATAGCTGATTTGGACTTAAGTAGTTATCCAAGTACACTACAGTACAGGCAATATGTTGCTATGGGAACTAACCATATTAGGAAACTCTTTTGGAAGGAGAGAGCCTTTTGGGAATCAAGATTTGCCATCCCTCCGCTGAGGCTGATGTCATCAGGCTGTCTGTGGGTGAAAAGGAAGACGGCAGTTTGAGACAGACTAAGGCTAAGAATAGACTAAGGCAGACTAAGAACAGGGATGCGGGTGGCGCTGTGGGTTAAACCACAGAGCCTAGGGCTTGCTGATCAGAAGGTCGGCAGTTCGAATCCCCACAACAGGGTGATCTCCTGTTGCTTGGTTCCAGCTCCTGCCAACTTTATAAAATTCGAAAGCACTTCAAAGTGGAAGTAGATAAATAAGTACCACTCTGGTAGGAAGGTAAATAATATACAGTAGTACCTCAGGTTACAGACTCTGCTAACCCAGAAATAGTACCTTGGGTTAAGAACTTTGCTTCAGGATGAGAACAGAAATTGTGCGGCAGTGGGAGGCCCCATTAGCTAAAGTGGTACCTCAGGTTAAGAACAGTTTCAGGTTAAGAACAAATTAAGTTCTTAACCCGAGGTACCACTGTATAATTCCTGTTGGTCATTTTTTAATGCCACTCCGAAGACACATTTATTTATACATTGGGCTGAATTGGGCTGTACTTGAAAAATAAAACCTTTAGCTGCTGCAGGATTGCTGTTTTGTGGGGGGTTTTTTGGGTAATTGTGTTTTCATGCTTTGTAAATCACCTTGTGAGGGCAAAGTACTCAGTAAGGCATCATCATCTCTCTCTCTCACACACACAAAATCACATGTGATCTGGAGGGTGGGAAGGAGTAAGGTACGCTCACACTCATTGGGGCAGTTGTGATTGAGCAGAAGGACTGGTATTTTAAAACACATTAATGTTTTGTTTAATAGCAGCAGTAGCAGCAGCAGCAGCAGCAAACCTGCTCTTTCAAAGGCAGGTTTGCGTTTTACTAACTTCTGTTTTACTAACAACTTTCTGTTGGGAAAGATTGAGGACACAAGGAGAAGGGGACGACAGAGGACGAGATGGTTGGACAGTGTTCTCGAAGCTACCAGCATGAGTTTGAGCAGACTGCGGGAGGCAGTGGAAGACAGAAGTGCCTGGCGTGCTCTGGTCCATGGGGTCACGAAGCGTCGGACACAACTAAACAACAACAACAACAACTTCTGTATAGTTTATCATAATATTTTCTCTTCTTGGCAGTTCCACACAATTTTATCTTAAATTTTGTGTAAATGCAAAACCAGCATATAAATCTGTGTCTTTATACAGGATATCATCAGTTGGTTCTGAAGGCTGATGGAAGGCAAGATGGGACAGATGATGATGATGATGATGATGATTACCAATCATCAAACAATGTGAAAAAGAACATGATTCAGAAGTCATTATAAAAATACTGGGATGGGTTTGCTTTGGAAAAGTTTGCTTTGGAAAAACATAGCTGTGTGTCTAATCTGTTTCCTTCCCATTTGCTTCAACATTTTTTAAAATTGTTTTTAAAAACGCCAATCATGAGCTGTTGGTTTTGTAGCCTGCATTCTTGTAGGCGTGTTTTTCTTCTGTTGCAGGCAATTCAAATAAAAGTAATAAATTACACTTGTTTGGCTGTTGCAATCCTTTCAAGATGTTGCATTTTCTTCAGTAGATGTAAGGAACATATGGTGGAAGAAACATCTGTGGTGAAACATTTTTAATGTTCAAATTCTGCACACAGATGATCCCCAGATGGAGTGATGTGTGTCCTTTTGAAGGCAGAGTCTAGCCCTTTATGGAAGGAAAGCCTGTTTAAAAATGCCCAGTTCTTTCTTCTTCGTGTAGGCCAAAAGAGCAATATTTTCAGTTTATTGAAAGGATGGGGAGCTTGTGACTCCCCAGGTGCGGTTGGACTGCGGTTCTCATCATCTCTGTCCATTGACCACGCTGGTTGGAGTTGATGAGAGACAGAATATGACTAGATCTGGAGGCAGGGGTCAGTAAACTTTTTCAGCAGGGGGCCGGTCCACTGTCCCTCAGACTTGTGGGGGGCCGGACTATATGTTGCCATGATTATGACCTGCATTTTTGGCAAAACCCTTATTGGGACCAACCCCAACGTTGCCCAAATGTGAACTTGGGGGTATTATCAGAAATATGAATTTGGAGAACTGTTATATAGGTGATATAATGAAACTCAGTTAGAGAGGATTCGAGGAAGTCAGTTATCAATGTGATGTGAATTAGGTATTTGAAGAAACAATTTTTCTTTGTGTTTAGTTTATTGTAGTGCAATGTGTTTTTTCTTTGTTGTGTGTTTTGTTATGTTATTTTTTGTGATAAATGTGGAAAATCAATAAAAAAATTGGGGGGGAAAGTGATTTTTTTTTGGGGGGTGTTCCCTCATACACCCACGCTGCTTCCTTTGCGTTTTACGCGATGACAGTTATTTCTCTCGTAAGGCGGGGTGGGGCAGAAGTAAGCACACCATTCCTGTCAGCCCTGGAGAGTGTGTGTGCATGCATGGGTGAAGGGAAAAGCTGTTGGCCACACTAAGTCAGGCTGGCACTGCTCAAGCAAAAACGTTATTTTCCCCTCGTAAGGGGAAGATGAGCGGTGGCGGCTGTTTACCTTTCCATGGCTCGCACCGTATAGCTAACAAGTGGCCTCCCCAGCAGAGCGCAGAACTGCTTTGGAGTGCAGCCACCCAGGTGCTCCCCGCTTCCCCCTGCAGGGAGCACCACCACAGACACTGGCAGGCGTTGCTCCTGAGGCGCCTCTGAGCTCCTGCCACTGCCCTTCCTGAGGTCAGTCGCCAGCAGCTCCATGGTGGAAATCCGAACTGTGGCTCCCTTCCCTCTTCCCCACTCCCCACCCCGGAAGAAAAGATTGCTGCGTGCACGCAACGGAAGGAGAAGGGGCTTGCCTTGAGCAGCCACCCGCCTCACTTTTGATCCCCAAGCCTGCCATCGCGAGCGCGCAATGTTGGCTGCCTGGATTCCTGGACCGTCCGTGGGCCGGATCTAGAAGGCAATTGGGCCTGATCTGGCCAGCGGGACCTTAGTTTGCTGACCCATGATCTGGAGGGTTACACAGGCTCCCCACCCCTTGGTTATTGCCAGTGACTGCTGATGCTACATTGGTAGGGTGGAAGGCAGGGTGACCAAAAGAATAGATGGAATCATCAACTTTGATGGCCAACAAATCAGATGGCTTTAAAAGAGGATGGGATATCATTGGCTGCTAGCAGGGATGGCTATGCTCTGCCTCCAGAGCAAAAGCTCACCTGAATGCAGAATTGCATGAACTCAAGAGTTTCCATCAATTAATGAACATCTGTTAAGTCTAGCTAGGATGTAATGTTTTCAAGTGAACCAATTCTTTCACATTTGGCCTCTGACTTCTTTAAGACATTAAGTGAAGAGACAGCAGATGGTGCTCACATGCATTTATATTCCGTACATTTTTCAGAACACCAAAATGTCCTATGCAGATGGCACACAACTTTCTTAAGTGGAGGTGTTTTTTAAAAAAATCTGCTCATGATAGATGCTCATTCCAATTTAAAAAAGTGATTCACCATGTTTGAAATGAAGCACACAT